GGGTTGACCCCATTGTTGCAAATTGGTCTTGTTGTCAGGGGGACTTAGTAGAGCGCACCTAGTCCGAAGTCGTCGACCATAGTAGTTATCATGATTCCCAACATCAGAGAGTGGACTTGGTAAATTACCAAACGTTTCGCAGACATCATAGTCGGCATCATCAGTGAGTTTCGCCATTCTCCGTACCAGGCTACGGACTCGTAAAAGAGACAAGTGAAGTCAATCCCTCGACAAACATTCTGCCGAAAACGGTTACATTATTACTCCTCTTTGTGTCCTAGCCTATCTATCTACTTTTTACCCTCTTATCCCAATGCAGCCCAAATATATCACATGGATTATATGAAATTCTAGGTTAGGTTTGACTATTATGAAAAATGCAAATACGTCCTTTTAAAAATATTAGGTGGGAAGAAGACACTAGTTAAGCTTTGTAAAATGAATGCTAGAAGAGTTGAATGAATGATAATTGAAAGCGTTATGTTTCTGTATGTGTATGTATGTAGTTGACTTCACTTGTCTCTTTGATGAGTTCGCAGTTTGGTGCGGGGAATGGAAAAATTCAATTATGATGCTAGCCAAAACGTTTGAGAATGTACCAAGTCCACTGTCTGATGCTGGGAATCATGGAAACTACTATGGCAGACGACTTCGGATTAGGTGCGTTCTACTAAGTCCCCCTAACAACAAGACCAAGTTGCGACAACAAGATCAACCAGAGTTCACATCATCTTGGTCTTCATATCTTTAATATTATGGTTTCATACGAAATAGCAATAGCCTTGAAAAAAATATTACAAGCACTGATATGTATTTTAGTTCCGCAAATGAATCTAAATAACAAATAGAACAAAAGACGCAATTTTATTTCCTTAACTGTGTAAAGCGCTAATTCATCCTCAAAAGTAGTTCTGCAATCTACTTCTGGCACCTGTTTTGCCTCTTTACGATTATGCCAAAATACTTCGGGTGTTAATTGTAGGTAGCCTATTATCTTTATTTACATTATTAATGCAACTAATCGGGAGATTCTGGGTAGGCAATCAATGAATATTGATAAGTATGTAATTTCAGTGCAATATTTGGCTGGCCTTCTTAAATAAATTTACGCTTGCATGCATATTGGCCTACTCAAGGATATCTTATTAAGAGTATCTACCATGCTGAAAAAAAGCAAAAGTAAAGCGAAATTACTTAAGGCTCAACTCTATTAGCTATTATGAATAGGCACTCAATCAAATTGTTTGTAATTTTTTTACTTCTTTGCATATCTCTAGCGTTTTTCCTGCCGACACATATCCAAGAATGCATTTTGCTTAGGTATGGCATAAATACTCTGCTTATAGTTCTCAGCTAAAAGGTTTTTTTGAATCGATTCATTTCGTCTAGTGAAACAATAGATAAAATATTCTATTCTACCCTTTTTATACTAACACTTATGACCTAGGAATCTATGTCGCTTATTACTCCCTATGCCACCTCCTTCTCTACCCATTTTGCTTATTCTTTTTCATCATCCCTTGCTTGCATATTCCTTGTAGTTGCAGTAATCTGCCCATCTACCTAACCACCTAAGATAAGAAGACATCGAGTTCGCTGAATTTATATGTACTGTATTATACAACCTGCCTGAAGAGATAATCATTAAACTAATTATCCGATATCGGTCTTAAATGCAAAGAGAGTTATTTTGTAATCAGACATTTTAACTATTAGACGAAATAATTATTTCGATCTACGGATATTTGGCCTGAAATTACGAAAATCTAAATAAATATTCGACAATCATGATTACTAACGTACATTTTGCTCATCGATAATTT